CCTTCCTGCTCCTCTGATGCTGCTTGGCCTGCTGTGTTCATTCAGCTCTACACCTTGTTATCTTAGAATTATATTTCAGTTCATTGACCTTTTGTGAGTTCTGTGCCAGTTCACCAAATGGGGTCTTTTCAAAATCAGTCATTAATTTTTTTTTCAATTATTCATTCATGGATGTGGGCACCACTGGCTGGCCCTGGAGACTTGCAAATGTTATACCCTTGAACGAGAAAGGATGTAAAGGTGAGCTCAACAGCGATAAATCGGTTCCACTTCAGTGGGTGGGAAACTTCTAGAAACAATAGTGGTCAAAATAGATGATCACATGGAGAATTTCTGCTAAATTAAGGAGAGTTAATTCAGGCAAAATTGCATTAGCTAACTTGCTGTAGTTTTGTGAAGAGGTAGCAGAGAGAGTTGCTAAGGATAATGCAGTTGGTGTCGTGCATGTGGACTTCCAAAAGTGATTTGCCACACTACAGACCTATAAACAAAGTTAGAGATCGTGGAATAAGGGACAGTAGCAACATGGATATGGAAATGGCCAAGTGACAGGAAACAGACAGTAATGGATAATAAATGTTTTAAGGGCTGATGGAAGGCTGGATGGCTGAACTGCCCTGAGAGCAGTTAAGAGTCAACCACACTGCTGTGGGTCTGGAGTTATATATAGGCCAGACCATATAAGGATAGCAGATTCCCTTCCCTGGAGGATATTAATGAACCAGATAGGATTTTTTTTCATTGACAATTGATTCCATGGCCATCTTTAGGCTCTTAATTCCAAATTACTATTGAATTTAAATTCCACCATCTGCCGTGATAGGATTTGAACTCAGGCCCCCAGAATATTACCTGGATCTCTGGATTAATAGTCTAGTGATAATACCACTGGGCCTACCCCTTGAGCCAGCTATTAAACCCTGGAATTGTGATGGTGGGGATTCATTGTCAAAGCAAACCAGGCACAATAAGTAGGATTGGCAGCAGCCTGTAGAACTAGGAGGAGAATTGGCATTGGATAACAGCGAACTAAGACATTATCTTTGATCTGCTACCTACAGCATAAATTTGAAAACATTGAGTGGAGCATTGATATTCTAATGAGATCAGCTCCTGAATTTAGGAGCAGATTGCTAAACCGACGCTAGGATCATAGGATGTTTACAACATAGAGGGAGCACATTCAGACCTAGGGTAGTTCACTTTAAGACCAGTTTAGCTCTTCCCACTCCCCAGCCCTTTCCCAATAATCTTACAACATTTTTCTCTTCAGGTGCTTATCTAATTTCTTCTTGAAAGCCATTGTTGAAACTGCCTCCACCATATTTTCAGACAGACCTTTCAAGATCTTAAACACTCACTGCATGTAATAGTGTTTAATTATTTGCTCTTCTACCAGTCTTCTTAAAGTCTCTTAATGGCAGACCCCTCATGATTCTGAATACCTCTCAAACTTTCTCTTCTCTAAGGAAAATAACTGCAACTTCTCCAAAGGCATTTAGGCAGTGTTTGTTGAAACCTGCCACTGAAGAAAACTACACACGTGTGCTCATTCTGAAATGAGCCCATGCAAAGTTTCAAACATAACACGTCTTCACCCTTCCTTCCCACCACTCCAATCCCAATCTCTCCCTCCCCCAGACTGCATTCCCACAGAAACTGGTTGTACGTGCACGCACGATTTAAATCAGCACGTAGCGCACGTGTGCTAGTGCCATCAAATGCAGCCACCCATTTAACTAATGTTCCCCATTCCTGGAAAACTTCCCATAAATCCTATGTGTACCCTTTCTAAAGCCTTCCCTTTTTTGATAAAGTATGATGACCACAATTAGACACAATATTCCTAGCTGAGACTATACTCGTGCTTTGTGTACATTCATCATAACTTCCTTTATATTTTCATTATATGCCTCTACTTAGAAAGCAAAGGATTTCATGTGCACTTGTAACCGCTTTTCCTGATTAGCATGTTTGTGGGACCTGAGGGTTGTTGTTGGTGGGCTCCTAGAGTTGTTTCATACCATTGAATCCCTTTCTGGCACCCAATGTACTTCCAGATTTGAGGAACTAGTTGAAGGAGAACATGTTCAAAAATTGTTTCCCAACTTCTATTTTTCATCCAAGTATGTGATGACCAATTTCCCTCCATCATCTGCATACTGTGTAAGATTTCATGAACTGGCTTTTTCATGATTGTCTTCAGAAGCTTAAGGCCATTCTCCCACAGAAAATATACATAATGAAGCAACTTTTCCATCCATCCATGAGAACTGTGAACTCTTTCCCTAGTTTAACTATTCCTGCTTGCTTCAGTATAAATACTCAATTGGTTGGTTCTTTC